CACACAGAACTCTGACCCTCAATCTGCAGCAACCAGCTCAAAATACCAGCATCATCTAGAGGGACCAGCCCAGGAAGCCAGCCTGCTGCCTGTAAATCAGACTTGTAGGAAGTCAGACCACTTTCTCTAGCAACAGGTCCAGGAAGCTAAACAATAACCCATATAATAATTGGCTCAAAATGATCAAGTCTTGATTAATGACTGACAGCTTCCATAAGTTTTGTCCCTGCTTCCAACTTAGGACCAACCAGAGAGAGCCAAGTACGCTCCCCCAGCCGATCACAGGATGTCCGGCTCCCAGGATACGTGCCCCTCCTCCAGTTTCTAGAGCTGACAGCCTCCAGAGCTGACAGCCTCCAATCAGGGCACAGCTGAAGCCGTCCCTTTTCTCCAAAGTCCAGCTTTCCCCTCCTCTGCCTGACATCCAGTCCCCAAAACATAAGTGAAGGTGGCTGGCTCTCTCGCTGGAGCAAGATCTAGCCCAATTTCCGAAGAAGACATACAGATGGCCTACTGGCGTATGAAAAGACATTCAACATCACTAGTAATCAGAAAATGCAAATCAAACCACAATGAGATATCACCTCACACCACTCTAGATGGTTATCATCAAAAAGACAGCAAATAACAAGTGCTGGCCAGGATGTGGAGAACAGGGAACCCCCATGCGCTGTTAGTGGGAATGTAAATTGGTAAAGCCGTTGTGGAAAACAGTATGGAAGTCCCCCTAAAATTAAAAATAGAACTACTAGATGACCCAGCAATTTCACTTCTGGGTATTTATCTGAAGAAAGCAAAAACACTAATTCAAAAAGATGTATGTACCCCTATGTTCACTGTAGCATAATTTACAATAGAGAAGATATGGAAACAATCTAAGTGTCCATCAACAGAAAAATGGATTAAAAAAAGGTATCTATACACAGTGGAATATTACTCAGCCATAAAACAAATAGTGAAATCTTGCCATTTGTGACAACATGGATGGACCTAGAGGGTATCATGGTAAGTGAAATAAGTCAGACAAAGACACATCCTTTATGATTTCACTTATATGTGGAATCTAAAAACAAAACAAATGAACAAATAGAACTAAACAGAAACAGAGTCATAGATACAGAGAACAGATGATTGCTAGAGAGGTAGAGGGTAGAGGAAGGTGACAAACAAGTGAGGGAGATTAAGAGGTATAAACTTCTAGTTGCAAAATAAATGAGTTATAGAAGTAAAATGTACAATGTGGGGAATATAGTCAATAACCATGTAATATCATTGTATGGTGACAGGTGACAACTAGACTTCTTACGGTGATCATTTTGAAATGTATAGAAATATCAAATCATATGTTGTGTACCAGGATCTAACATAATGTTATAAATTAATTAGACTTCAAAAACAAACAAACTCATAGAAAAAGAGATAAGATTTGTGGCGACCAAGGGCAAGAGGTGGAGGAGGGGGAATTAGATGAGGCAGTCCAAATGTACAACCCTCCAGTTATGAGGTATATGAGTCCTAAGGATGTAATGCACAACAGGATAAAGATAATTAACACTGTTGTATGTTATGCATGAAAGTTGTTAAGAGAGTAAGTCCTAAGAGTTCCCATCATAAGGAGAAAACAGTTTTGTTTTTTTTTTTCCTATTTCTTGTGCCTAGATGAGATGATGGATGTTCATTAACCCTATTTTGGTCGTTTCGCGATATATGTAAATCAAATCATTATGTTGTACACTTTAAGCTTACACTATGCTCTATATCAATTATATCACAATAAAACTAGAAAAAATAAAGTTCACAGTGATATAAATCTTAGTATTATCACAGCTCCTTTGTTCTGCCATCAAGGTGTTACTACTCTCTGCCTGCTTCTCCCTTCCAGGACCCAAGCTTACCAACCATTGGCTAAAATCCTCCAGTGCTTCCAAACCATGCATTACACCAGAATTCCACAGACAGGAATCCAGGACTGTAGGGAGGACTGGATGCTTTTGGAGAAGAGCATCTTCCTGACTACCTATGCCTGCATATGTTTCTACACTACAGAATTCAAGTAAATTCTGTTTTGAGAAAATTTGAGGGCAAGATAGATAGGAAATTGATCTTCAAAGATAGAGAAGTGAGATGGATTGCTTGTAGCAAGAGGAAGGGCAGAAACTTTAGAGACAATCCAGCCAGGGTCCTGTGGGTGCATATGGGGTGGAAATGCACAAGAAATCTGAGGGTTTCTGCCCAGTAGATATCTGTTCTCTTCTTACCAAGGAAGAGACACAGGAGACAGACCCCAACTTATTCAGTTCCACTTAGCTCAGGCAAAGCAGACCTAAATTAAAGCAGCTTTTGTCCTGGTTTCTCCATCACCCCGTTCCCACTCTTAGTATATGGCTGATCAGATGCAGTCCCTTCCTCTCCACCATCCTTCTGGAATGTTCTTCAGTCAGCACCTCTGGGCTCAGGGATAAAGCAGAGACTTACTGAGTCAGGAATGCCGGTGGTGGGAAAGGCTGGTTGCTCTCCAAATCTCCTCAGACCTTCCCTCTGCCCCTGACCTCTTGCCACAGGCTTGTCCAGGGGTCCAAACACCCTAGGGTGCCAGTGGACAAAGCTGGATGTGACTGACTCATGATCTCACTGAGCTGAGGAGAGAAGTAACTTGGATACCCAAGTTACTTGAGTGTTACTTCCTTGTTTATATCATCTCCCTCAATTGCTATCCTTTTTTCTGAAAATGTCAAAGTCATGATTCCCTGAAATGAGGCTGTGAGTTTCAGACACCCTCAGGTCTTGCTGGAGCCTCACTGCCTTCATCTGTAAAATGGGCAGGTTGAATTAAGGACACGTTCTATTCTATACTTTAATGAGCCAAGTTATCCTTGCTAAGGGTGAAGTGTCTTACCTGGGTCTTTCGCTGAAGCATCGTGGAAGCATATTGGGCGGCTTGAGAGAAGAGATGGAATCTTACTCATCCAGTATTCTTGTTTTGTTCAGTCTCACCCACCAAGGGTGAAACTCAAGCCTAAGGAAAGGGAGCAACAGAAGGGCCAGGTTCAAGGTGCTTCCAAGGCCGGTGGCCCCTAGCCCGGTTCATACGCCAGTCCGGAGTCTCCCAGACTTCTGATTTGAGTCATTGCCAGTTATCTTTTATCCTCCCCAGGATCTGGGCCACTTCTTCTTTCTCTTTATTGAGTTTTTCTGTCACCATTTCCTTCTTGGAATTGAACCCCTCACCCTCGCTCTCCCCAATTTTCTTCATCGCCAAGAATTCCAGGGCCGCTCTCCAGCCATACTGTGTGTGAGATCCCTTCAGGGCCGGTGGTGCGGCCCACCCCTCCTCCTGGGCCTCTCCCCCACCTCCCTGGCACGGCCTCCTCCAGGGTCACCAACAGCCTCTGTAGCCAGATCTAAACACTTCCCCATTTCTTACCTTACTCAGTATCACTCGACGACACAGCCCATGCTCCTTCTCTCCAGGCTGCCTGTTCCCCGGGCCCTTCTCTCTCCTCTGAGGGCACCTTCCTCCCCAATCCTCTTGAGCCCTGACTCTGTGGCCAACACCGGCATTTCCCTGCGACCCACCCCAGGCCCATTTTTCTCCTTCCCCTTCATGCCCCCAAAAGGTCCTCATCCAGCATGTCTGCCAGGGGTTCCAAAACTCATCTCCCGCCAGAACTTTCTCCTGAGATCCAGCCCCGCACACCCTCCGGGATGTCTCCCCTTGGGAAGCCCTCTTCCCCACCACAATAATCGTCATAGCCTCATGATGATAAAAGCCAGTAATGAAAGGTTTTACGTACTTTGCTAAGCATTTCACACTAACTCAACCTTCCCAGCAACAATAGGGGATACTTTTATTATCATCCCCATTTTGCAGAGGAGGAAACTGAGACCTGGAGAGGTCAACAGAGTCCAAGTTCTTAAACACCATGTTTTGGTTTCTTCAACACTTAACTTGGCCCAACCATCACCCTTCCCCACTCCAGTACCCTCTAGCTCAGGAACCATTACCACTGTCCACGCCTCAGTGACCAGTCAGCCTTCAGTTCATCTCCATGGCTGCCAGCTCACCCCACAGGCCCCCATCCTCTCCCTCCTGACCGTCTGTCTCCAGCTAGCTCCCAAGGAAGTTGTGCCCCACCCAGCCCCTCTTTCTGGCTTTCTGAAATGTAAATGTGAATATCTCTGTCTTTGCAATTTGCTTCTAACCTTCTCTCTATCCTTATGATAAACTGACAGGTCTTAAGGGGGCTTTCCAGGTCTGGGGCCTGCTTCCCCTTCCTCTCCTCCCCCACTGACCTCATCTTTTGTCACCTCCCACTCTCTGGTTTCTATCACTGATTTCTTCAGAGTCCTTCCTATCTCATGCCTCTTCCGTGTTTAGCTACCCCTTATGACATATGCACCTCTCTAGTCAGTTGCCTTCAAGACTCAGATCAAGGGCCATCTCCTCCAGGAAGCCTTCCTGGAAATCTACACCCTTCCAACATAGGTGAGGTATCCTATGACCAATGGGCTTCTCTTCTCATGGAATTGCCTTGCTGTTCACATAATTTTCTTCTCTCCTGACCCCAGAGCTGGTGCCCTGTGGTTTGCGTTTTCTCCCTCTGCTAACAGAGGGCTTGCAAAATCTGCCTCTGATAACGCTTGTTGAATACATGATGAACAAACGAGCAAATACCCACTCTGAACGCCTCCTAGGGCCCAGAGCCTTGACTCCTGGGCCCAGAGGTTTCCAGGTCCACAGTGGAGGGTCCCCACCAGGCTCTCGGTTAGGGCCCAGACTCCACCCTGGCATCTGGTTAACTGAAGTTTCAAGGTCAAAGGAAACTTCTGCCAGTACAATGAGGGAACCTGGGAGAGGTGGGGCCGCGCAGGGGATTTGCATCCACCCAAGTTTAGGTTGGTGAGACAAGAGAAGCAAGCCATGTCATCTCTGGTTAGAAAGGCTCCTGGACACAGAGTGCGTGGGCTGCCTGCCCCCTTTCTCTGCTTATTTTAGATGTATTCTCCACCCTCTACCTCTGAATCATGCTGACAGCTTCACTCCCTGCCTCTGCTCCTGACCCCCTCTCTGTTCATTTGCTCCCTTGGCATCTTGGTCCAGTGGCTCCCGCATTGGCTTGGGTGCTCCGAAGCCTATGTCTGACACTCCAGTCATGCCCAAGACCGGGATCTTCCTCTTCCTGCTGATGGGTGAGCTGAGGGCCCCCATGCAGGGGATGAGGGGCTGAGGTCCAGGGAGGGAGGGGTCTGGAATGCATGATTTGGACTCACACATTAGGGTAGGGATCTACAGTTAAACAGGTTTGGGGTCTGGATGTATAGGTTTGGGATCTGGAGTTTGTGGAGGGAGAGGATATGGAGGAACAAATTTTGGGGGCATTCAAGAGTTGCTGGAGGAGAGGCCAGTTGCCTGGACAATCCAGAGTTTCCTCAGGTAGGCAGAACAAGTCGATCTTGTACGCTGTCCACAGCATCCTTTTGGCCCCAGTTTTCTGGGTTCTCCCTCATAGGAGCCCAGGGGTAGGGCTGGGGAAGGAACGTCTTTAAAGCCAGGGCATTGCTCTGTGGAAATGGAGAACTGAAATGTGCCAGCAGGCTGGAGGGGAGAAGACCCATCTCTGGCCCATGTGAAGGAGAGAAAAGCAGGGCCAAGAGGCCTGAGTCTGGGGGTCCAGAAGACCAGGAGATGCTGGGGCCTTGCTCCTGGAAAGGAGAGCCGGGAGCTAGGGGCCTGAGAAGTGGAGCAGGAGGAAGACCCTTCTACAAGGCTTGTCTTCTCATCCTCTTCCAAGGCTTGTCTTCTCACCCTCCTCCCTAGCCTTGCCTTCCTCTCTCTGCTTCAACTTGGAAACGGACAAGCCGACCACCTTCAGCATGGACAGCGCTGGGTTTGGACACAGCGTGGTCCAGTACGCCAACTGGTAGGACAATGTGGGGTCTGCTTTTCACTCTCAACACCTCTCCTGTACGGGGTCTGTCCACGCCATGGCCATCCCTGCAAAGTCCTGAAGAGTTGGACTGAAAGAAGGGCCATCTTGCCATCTTGATAACTGCTTTATTTATTTCTCGAGCACTTAGTAAGTGCCAGGCATCCTTTCTGTAGGCACTGATTTTGTCCCCGTAACAACCTCAGGATGGAGGAATCCTCCATTCAGCAAATGTTCATTGAGCATCTATTATTATATGTCTCAGGAGCTGGCCATGCACCAGAGAATAAAACAGACAAAAATCTCTCCTGGGAGCAACTTAAATGGTTGTTAGCTTCCATCTTACAGATGAGGAAACTGAAGCTCTGAGAGGAGAGCAAACTTGTCAGGTGGCATCCCAGCTCCAGCGTCCACACTCTTAGCTGCCGTGTTCTTTGTCTTTTCCCCCAGGGTGGTGGTTGGGGCCCCCCAGGAGATAAAGGCTGCCAACCAAACAGGTGGCATCTACCAATGTGACTACAGCACAGGGACGTGTAACGCCATCCACCTGCAGGGTGAGTCTCTGCCCCTTGAGGGGACCGGGATCCAGGCTCCCAGGCTCTGGGGAACTTCAGGGAGCACAGGAGGCCCACCTCCCAACTTTAGCTCTATTTGCAGACCCTGACCTTCAGACAGGCTTCCTCACTCCCTCAAAGTCCCCTCGCCCACCGCGCCCTCTCACTCCACAGCTCCATCAAGACCTGAAAGCCACTGCCACCTGTCAGACCTCCTTATTTATTTCCCAGAGTTGCCATGACCCCTGCCCAGATCTTACACAGCCTCCTCTGGCCTGAGGGTGACCATGCACATATCTGCCCTTCAGTGCCCCCAGAGGCTGTGAACATGTCCCTGGGCTTGTCCATGGCGGCCACCACCAACCCCACTCAGCTGCTGGTGAGTCACCCTGGGTCACAGGGGCATCCTAAGGGAAGGAGGGGGGACCTGGGGCTGCTGGTGCTGGAGGTCTCATGGCAGGTGGAGGTGTTGGGATGGGAGGGTGGGACAGAACCCCTCCTACTTGTCCCCTCTGTCCCCAGGCCTGTGGCCCCACCGTGCACCGTGCATGCAGGGAGAACATGCACCTCACGGGGTTCTGCTTCTTGCTGGCCTCCCCGTCCTGGCATGCCCAGAGGATCCCCGCTGCCCTGCAGGGTGAGTGTTTGGGGCCACTTTGTCCTTTGAGGCACCTACAGACATCTGATGGGGCTGCAGTGGGGCAGAGACACTCTTACCAAAGTGGATATAAAAGAGGGATCCAGAAAAAAAAATCTACTGGATGGTGTAGTGATTCCAAACATGGGCTGGGAGTGGGTCTCTGCCTGCCTTGACACCTGCCCTATCACTGTCCCACGGCAGGACCTTTCCTGTGACCTTTTCCTCTCTGAGCCTCGGCTTCTTTGTCTGTCAGCTGCGGGTAGTAACACACCCAGTGCTGAGAGCGACATGCGATGATCCACAGTCAGGGGTTAGCACAGGACCTGGTACTACGTGGTGAGGGCTCAGTTTTTCAGTTGAGCCAGCTGCTCTAGCTAGCTGCTCTAATTTTTAGAGAGAAGGGCAGGCACCCTGCCTATAACCAGTTGGCTTGTGCAGCAGGCTGGGAAGGGGGAATGAGATGCAGATGGTCTGAGCAGTGTGCACGTGTGTGTGTGTATATGAGTGTGTGATGGATGTATGTGTGTGTCTTGTATGTATGAATGTGTGTGTGTATATGTGTGTTGTATGTATGAGTGTATGCATGCATGTGTGTATGTAGGAGTATGCATGTTTGTGTGTATAAGTGTGGTATGAGTGTGTGATGCATGTATGTGTGTATATATGTGTATGTGTGTTGTAGGTATGAGTGTGTACGTGTCTGGTGTATGTGTGTATGAGTATGTGATGTGTGCATATGAGTATATGCGTATGTGTGTATATTGCATGTGTGTATATGTGTCTGTGCGTGTGTGTTGTGTGTGTGTGTGTTGTACGTGTGTGTGTTGTGCGTGTACAAGTGCGTACATATGCGTGCTGTGTGCGCAGGTGCAGGTCGAAGCGCAGGGCCCAGCTTCCTTGGTGCTGACAGGGATGGGGCACGAGGAGGTGGAGCACTGAGCTTTTCAGACCCGGCTCAGGGCAGACCGAGACCCCTCCCTGGTTTCACATTCACATTCAGGCCCCTGGGGATACTGCTGTCCGGGGCCCTGAATGGGGTGCCCCTTCGTGCTGGAGCAGCACCCTCTAGGCTTTAGATTCACCCACCGGCCTCTGGGCTCCCATCCGAACAGCCAGGACACCTCGCTCTGTGGTGAGAAGTCTGTGGCAGGAAGGGGAAGCTGGGAGTTAGACAGGAATCTGTGAGCCGGGAGGGCTTCCGCTTCTGAGGACAGATTCTGCCCCCACCCAGGAGGAGAGAGGGGCCCGAATGAAGCCGAGAACTGAATAGGACCAGTGTGTGGGTGTTGCCAGGCATGACATTAAAAATATTTAACAAAAGTACAATTTGGTGTTGACAAATGAGGACAGACCCTGGCCAGGGGCTGGAAGAGAGTCCTTTTATTGCTGGATGGTGGGGATGTCGAGGGAGAAGGTGGGGTGGGGTCGGGGGATAGGCACAGACAGCCGAGGTGGAAGGACCAGGCGCAGCTTCTCACTGTCTGCATGGGAGGAGTTTTCACTTTTTTACCAACTGGGTGTGAGCAGCTGAATCACAGATGTGGTCTCTTGAGACTTAAGAAGACCGAAGGGCCCTGTTCTAGGAAGCCCCTGGGAGGGTGAGTTCTCCTGGGCAGGAGGCTGAGGGCTGGGCTTTGGGGGTGTCCTGCAGAGGACTGGTGCCACCTCCTTCCCTAGAGTGCCCAAAGCAGGAGCAGGACATCGCCTTCCTGATTGACGGCTCAGGTAGCATCTCCTTCAGAGATTTTGCCAAAATGCTGAACTTCGTGAGGGCTGTGATGAGCCACTTCCAGAGACCGAGCTCCCAGGTGTGCCCTCGGGGTAGGGAAAGCGAGTGTGCAGGCACCCCCGCCCCAGCCCCTGGGGAGGCTTGTGGGAGGGACCCCGGGGTTGGAGCGCCCTGGCCTGGCCCCCAGCCCCGCGTGGCTCTCCCAGTTCTCCCTGATGCAGTTCTCCAACAAGTTTGTGGTGCACTTCACTTTCAAAGACTTTGCAATCAGCTCAGACCCACTAAGCCTGCTGAATTCTGTAACACAGCTGAAAGGGTACACTTACACGGCCACAGCCATCGGAATGGTCACGTGAGTCCTGACTCCTCCCAGGTGCTCCCCCCAGACATCTGGGTCCTCCTTTTGGCCCCAACTGTCTCCATGACGAAGGGAGAGGTGAGCACTGGAATTCAGCCTGTGGTCTCCTCACCAAGCCAGGAGCCTCTGGGTGGGATGGGAGCACCCCAGAGGAAGGGGCATCTCCTGGTTCTCACAAAGGGGTCAAGAGCAGCTCTGTTCACCGGCCGCTGAACCCTCATCTTCCCTGACAGAGACCAATTGTTTAGTGCCTCAAAAGGGTCCCGAAAAGATGCCTCCAAGATCCTGATCGTCATCACCGATGGGCAAAAAACAGGGGACTACCAGGATTACAAGGATGTCATTCCCAGGGCTGAGGCCGCTGGCATCATCCGCTATGCAATTGGGGTAGGATGTGGGATTGCCCTCCCACTGCTTCCTCTCCTCACTTCCTCTTAAGGCAACTTCCCTCTTGAGGACAGAAATCCCAGCTCTCTCAGCTTCTTTTTTTTTTTTTTTTACATTTTTATTGATTCATAATCATTTTACAGTGTTGTGTCAAATTCCAGTGTTCAGTACAATTTTTCAGTCATACATGGACATATACACACTCATTGTCACATTTTTTTCTCTGTGATTTATCATAACATTTTGTGTATATTTCCCTGTGCTATACAGTGTAATCTCTCAGCTTCTACTATCTTCAGGATGAAAACTCTGTTCCAGCCTGGGGGACCATAATCCTTTTCCCTAAACTGCTTGATGCTGTCTGAGCCCTGTTTTTCTTGCCTGGACACCGGGTGTAATAGCATTAACCTTGGAGTGTTTTTGGAGGCTCCCAGCATCCAGCATGTGGCAGGCATGTTGTAGTTATGGTTATTTCCACTGAGCTGGTCTTTGTTGGGGACAGGTGGGATCGGCTTTTCAAACTGAACATTCCTTGCAAGAGTTACAGGACATTGCATCAAAGCCGTCCAGTGAACATATATTTAAAGTGGATAATTTTGATGCTTTGAGAGACATTCAAAACAAACTGAAAGAGAAGATCTTTGCCATTGAGGGTAAGTCAGAGATGGAACTACTCCAGAAATCCTCACCCATAAATGCTTTTCTTTCTAGAACCTGGACCCCCACATCATGGGCACCAACCCCTCCCTTCGGGTGTTAGTTTCCAACATTAGCTCCTCTTAAAGCTGCGATCGTTCTTGAACCTGGAAAAACTTGTCTTTCCTCATGGAACCTGGGTGTCATGCCTTTCCCCAGGTACACAGACCGCAAGCAGTAGCTCCTTCGAATTGGAGATGGCCCAGGAGGGCTTCAGTGCTGTGTTCACGCCTGTGAGTGGGGCCCCTTTTAGGTCACCGATGTAGGATGAGGAAGAGAAGGGAGAAGGGAAGGCAAGAGTGGATGTCAGATGAGTGGGTGGAGCCAGCAGCAGGCGGTGCTTTGGAAGAGGCTGTCTTCTCCTTCCCACCTGCTCAGCCCTGGAATCTCTCCTCCCAGGATGGACCGGTTCTGGGGGCTGTGGGGAGCTTCAGCTGGTCTGGAGGGGCCTTCCTGTACCCCCCCAAAATGAGCCCCACCTTCATCAACATGTCCCAGGAGAACGTGGACATGAGAGACTCTTACCTGGGTGAGACGGGGCTGCGGCTGGAGGGTCAGGCAGGGCTGCTGGGGAGGGCAGGCCCTGGGGGCGGGAGGGGAAGCCTTTATGCTGAGGCCTGGCCCCCTCAGGTTACTCCACTGAGCTGGCCCTTTGGAAGGGGCTACAGAACCTGGTCCTGGGGGCCCCCCGCCATCAGCACACCGGGAAGGTTGTCCTCTTCACCCAGGTGTCCAGGCAGTGGAGA